GACGTGCACTAAAGTACTTCTAGCTCAAGGGACCGCGACTGCCGCTCGAGATATTTTTCTTGATCGTCGCTGAAGCTCGAGACGACGAGAAGGCGCTCAAGACTTTCTCCCTTGTGTCCAAGGGCTGGATGCACGTCGCACGCGAGATTCTATTCGTCCAAATCCCCCTCCTCCGCGTCAAACCGTTTCTCAACGATCTGCACTGCACTATATTTCCATACGTGCGAGCGCTTTTCATCCGCCGCGACGACACCAAAGATGGGACGGCGATTCCGTCGGTAATAACGCCCAACTGGCTCGACGACTACCTCGTCCACGTCCCCAAATTCACTGCCCTCGCGTCACTAGAACTTTCCCATCTCAAGTCACGCGATTTGCACAACATCGCCCGCGCCCTGCCGCCAGGCACGAAACAGCGTATCCGCGAACTCGACCTCTGCCGCCCCGACGCCTCCCTGTCCGCCATCACAAATTTCATATCCAACTTCACACAGCTCACGACCCTCAAATGCTCGGAGATGGACGAAAGCCGGCGGAACAATGCGCTAGCGCGGCTGTTCCCCTCCACGCAGGCTGGCACAGATGCGCTGGCGGCGCCGCCACCGAGCCTCACAACGCTGCTGTTCTGGGAGACCGGATACCTCCCGGCCAACGTCCTGAAATGGCTGACCGCCCGCCACCCCGGTGCGATCGAGTTGTTCCGTCCTGATTATCTGCAGTCCGAATACCCAGCCGAGTTCGGAGACTTCATCGCTCGTTTCGGGGGTTCTCTTTCGGAAATCGAGCTCTCGTTTTTCAACGAGTGCGATGCTGGTAAGTACTAGGCCAGGTGTGTTTCGCAGCCAGACTAACGTTGCCTCGCAGTTAAACTCCTGGACGCGCAATATCTGACCGCGCTGAGCGAGCTCAGGTGCATCGTGCTGAATTTTCACCACGCCAGGCTGAGCTGGCTTCCCAACATCATCGCACAGCTCCCCCCGAGCATCGAAAGGATGAAGATCTACGTGGACGGTGGCCACGTGTCCCGCATTGACGAAGGCTGGCCTGAGCTGGACCAGACTCTCGCTGGAGGGACGGCGTTCCCATCCCTTTGCAGCTTGACAATCTGGATTCGCCACGCTAACTACTACAGTAAGCAGCAAATTTTGCAAATACTCCTTCCCCTCAGCGCCGAGAAACGGATTCTTGCACTGGAGGTCGATTTCCCTTAGTCTACTCTACTGTTTCAGTCCTAATAGGCCGTTGTATCATTATCGCTTCGGCTGACTGACCGCACCAGCATCCTTGTCGTTATCCCGATGGTAGTTTATGTTTTGTGCGTTTTATAAACTCGATCAGGCATTGAGGGTTAGATTTCAGAGTTAGTGATTTACAGTGTGTACTTTGACTGACTTCTGACCGTGTACAATATGTGTACTCTATTCTATAAATTGCTCGACCGTCATCAATAAGTACATGCAGACCGCATAGATCCGCGCCAAAGAAGTAAATATCACAGTGCAACATCGTACTCCTCCTCCACGGACGCGATGAAGGATATGAGCTGCGAAGGAGCACGCCTCGTCAGCATAATGAATGAGAAAAAATTATGGACTTGCAGCGGCATGCCTCTTCTCGCCCAGCGCCTTCCCAGGTGCGGTTTTCAGTCGGTCTTTAATCAGGACGAGTTTGTCGTGGAAGTGTTGGATCGCTGAGTCTTTGAGGCGCGGGTCGTCGGAGGGGACGTGCAGGGGGCTTGGGCGGCCGTCAGTACCCTGTCAATAGTAAGGAAGTGAAGGTTAGAGGAGGCGTACCAGTTTACCACAGCGCTGTAGGCCGCACAACGCATGATTCCTAAAAAAACAAGAGATAAATTGTGCATGAGGAAGAGCAAAAAAAAGACATACCAAACGCGCCGATGGCATCCAACCTATCCGCATCCTGTACGCCTGAGTACATGTACCCGCATAAGCCTCATCGGAATGCCGTTGTCTCGAATGAATCACTACTTACAATGTAACTCCACGCAGTTCTCGTGCCACTCGCTCCAGAGGCCGTCCTTGCGCAGCCTCTTCTCCGTGCTCCACGACACGTTGTCCACGATCTGCGCGACCTGCCGCGCGCGCCCGTCGCGCACGAGGTCGACTCCGGGGCCGTGTTTCGCCGCGAGGGAGGTGAAGAAGGGGAGGAAGAAGGCGTAGGGGTCCGCGGCTTGCTCGGCGGAGACATATTTCTTGTCGAGGACGTCATGCAGGAGGGCCGCTGTATGCGTGTCCGGGGTCGTTCAGAAGTTGCCTGGCAAATATGACGGCGCGAAGAAGACGGACCAAGTTCCACGACGAGGAGGTCTGGTTTGGGAGATACAGCGTTCGCAAGCGCAAGCGCCGTCCTACGGACGCGCTGGACTATTTCACGCGTCAGTTGGTAACTCGACAGGGCAAAGACGCGTCTTAAAAGCACCATGGAACGCGTCGTGCGATGGGTCGTACTTTGCCATCGCGTCAGTCATGACCTGCTCGGCCTCGGCGATTATGGCGCGTTCTTGGTCGGTGGTGGTAGACATGGTGGTGGAAGCGGAAGTGGAGGATGTGATTCTCGAGGGTCGTTTGTAATTACTTATCGTTCGAGCTGCCTCACAGTGATCATGAGCCGACGGCAAAAAGTCGTGTGATGTGGAATAGCAGCGGGTTGGGCCGGTCTCAGTTTGCCGCCCGCGACCCTCGAAACTGACGGCCAGTGACTGCCATGTGGATAGCGGAGAAGCCCAAGCCAGCGCTGGGGTGCGAGGGCACTTGTGGTCGGATCTTTCCGCTCAGTGCTCGGAGTCGGCCCGCAGATGCCCGAAGTTCAGGCTCGCAAGTTGGACGCAATTTACGCCAGCCCAGAACCAAAATCCGATGAGTACCCATACTATTTGTCCATCTCCGAATCACCGAGGGACGCGGTGGTCCAATGCCCGAAGAACATCGAGAGAAACCATTGTTGAGCGAGAAGGCTGCTTGGAGGTTAAACCACAAGCGCAAAATAATCCCAGCTAGTTACGTCCAGCAAGAAAAGGTAGAAAGAAAGTAACGGCTTGCAGGGTTATATCCACGCAATTACATTATACATATCTGATGGTCGACAATACACCCTCGTTGTCTACCAGATGAACAGCACCTGTAGCGTCGTCGACACACAGCCCGTCGAGTTCTTCGAGATCGATGGTGTCGGGAACGGCAAGGGCATGCACGGAGGTGGACATGATGTCCGGGTGATAGCGCACGAGGACAAGTCTCGGGGGGTCGGCTTCGGTCTGAACAACGGCCCCGATATTGGAGCCGCTGTGGTCCGACCAAACGTGATTGTGGCCAAGAACCCAACCGGGAACCAAGGCCACAACAGACGGCGAGTCGAAGGCGAGAGGTGAGGACACGTCGTCGTCAGAAGAATGTGTGAGGCTGCTCGGCAGGAACGTGAATGAGGTCAAGGACCTTAAATCGTCCTCCTCGTCCTCCTTTATGCGGACAAAAATTGCACCGATTCCGTAACGAGGCGTGCTGGGAAGTAGGGTACGGAATGGATAGAACAATGGATCGAAATCGTTTCCAGAAAAAGCCTTCTCCGAAATAAAGCGGCTGGACTCTTCACAGTGACCGGCGCGCAGACTTCTCCGCGAGATATGCTGGATTTGAACCGATCGCCCGTCTTCGATGAGATTGTAGAGATGCTCCTTGTATGTAAAGCATTCCATCAAGTCGCGATCGGTGGAAACCTAAAATATGAACAGTGAGTCGCCAGGGCCTGACAGTAGGGTTTCCTAGGCAAGGACATACGGAACGATGTAATCTCAATACACTGGTGGAATCCAAAAGAGGGTTATTACTGTTCACTTCATCGACTGTTATAATGCACTGTTCTTCATCGTCCCCCGTCATGATCGATCCGACCACGTCTTCAGTGAGAAACAACAAATTCGAGTCGCCGGAGTTAGAGATCGAAACGTCCGAGACTCGATTTGTGAAACTAACGACTTTTCCGTCCTCATGTTTTATCGTCAGAATGTATCTGTGTTCGCTGCTAAAATGAAAAGAATGTTACTTCATGATAGAAGTAGATTAACGGATGACAAACTGGGTACCGGTGTTTCCGAGTTTTTGTGTCAAAAGAGCTATACTGTATATGCCTGGGCTTTCGGTAAAGGAGACTGAATCGATAACCCCTATTTCTATAGCGGGGAATGGGCACGGAGTTGCCAGTTTAGAATCCCAGCACAATACGCTGTCCCCCGTGGTCAGAACCAGGATATCGGTTCCTTGCAGACTAGCAAGGATTTCTGGAGGCGCCTGGAAATGAGTCGAAGTCACACAAGCGATTTTCGGGTAAGGCTGGTTCCAATTATCTTGGAGCTTTTGCCACGAGAATACCAGACCCTTGAGTGTTTCCAAGGTAAATCGGGAGAGATTAGCGTGCGGTGGACATGCTATCGGGGATTTCATTCGCGTCGTCTCCAGAGCCGAGATCCAGAAACTGCGTTGGGTCGACAAGCTATAAAGGGACGAGCATGTCTGGTCGAACTATGAACAATTGTTCAAGACTTTAGGTTGGCACGTACCAGGAGAAGGGATATTGGATCAGGCAATTCTAGAAAGCGCACAACTTCCAGAAAGATTTCTGTCGGAAGATCGAGTACAAGAGTCATCGAACCACGCCTAAACAAGATGAGCTCGAACAAATGGTGAGGGTCAAGAGCAGGGATTGGCGATCGGCGAATCGTGGAACACTGATGGGTGATTGTGATCACTCGGATCAACGCGCTAGTGACTGAATTTCAACTTTGTTCAAAATTCCATACTCAAAGGAACAGTTGGGCTCGAGAGATCTGTCGAAAATGAGGATGAGCATTCAGCACCCTCACAAAAAGACCTCCTCTTCAACAGACCTCAGGAAGCTAGAATCGACGCGTCAAACAAAGTCTCCAGTCTGGACATCACGTACGAGAGCAGACAAGACATGTATGCTCATACAAAATGATTGTTGCAAGGCCATCGTGGGGTCGAACCCAAGACCTGAGTTGATATTAGCACGGCTCTAACCAACCGAGCCAGACAGCCATTGAAAGTGGTGGAGGCTGACCAGGTTCATAGTCGGTGGGAGTCGGTGGCCAGATTTGGATACAACATGAACACCAGAGCCTAGACCAAGGTACTCTGCAGTAGTCTCTCGCAGCCAGACACTCCAATACATATTTAAACTTGTACCTCGTTGTATTGAAACTCTGCAGCACTTAAGGCTAACAATTTTCTTGTCGTGAGATTTGTTGCAGCTCTGGAGGAATGAGCCCGGGTGACAGTCCACAAACTTCCCTAGATAGTGCTGGCCAAAAATACGATACGCCAAAATATATTTTGAATATATTCAAATACATACCGATACGATACGGCCCCGGGACCTTCACCTGAATATGAATACAATACAATATGGATATAATATGATACGGGTCTGACTGTATTCAAATATATTTGAGTATGGTGAAATGGCTTTTGCCGCCTTTCGGACCTCCGGCAGGACAGGTCAGATCAATACATTTTGTTGGCACATCTGCAAACTGACTCTGTGCTGCTGTGAGAGGTGCTGCTCCGGCCTCGGCTTCATACACCCAATCATTTGGTGTGATCAAAGACTTATGACCCAGGTCTCGAAGCTTGCCAACTATCGACAGTGTATTTTCCATAACCATCTGGTCCCCAAAGAACCACGTGTACACATACCTTCCAACACTCAGACAATGTTTTGGTAGCCCATTTTTTCTGACTAAGGGCCTAAGGCTGGCTCAGAATATATTTGACTATATTCATATTGTATTCATATTCAACAGCCTGGATATGAATATGATATGCTAAGAATACGATACGGCCTCTCCAGGGTGAATACAATATGGATATGAATATGATATGCCATTTGCCGTATTGTATTTGTATTTGGCCAGCACTATCCCTAGATGCAAAGCAAAGCCTTGGATCATTCTACTTCAGTCACAGCTGATAAATTGCTCCACTGGAGGTTTCAAAGTCGAAGTGTTATTGGTGTTCTTCGAAGATAATGGGTCACCGCCTCAGGCTCGAACAGTTGTGTTTGTGTTTCTGTAAAACCAATTGCGGTAAACAAACTAATAATCACAATCAAATACTGTAAGTGCTTGTACTGAGGCAACCGGCTGACCCACCATGACGCCATCAAAAAATTTGGGCAACGCAACCAGCCCGGATTTCGCCGTGACAGTGGAGAATTAGGTAACTGACCCTCTTGTATATATGCTGATGGCCTTGATTTCAATACAAATTGAGACTTCGGGGCTAACAAGAGGAGCACTGGGCCTGATTTGCGATTTTTTCACCCCATTTTAACCATTTTTTGGCAGGAAAAAAATATTTCTGAAATTTCCAGGCCATGTCACGGTCTTGACGAAGGCAACCGGAGGCATCGTGACCGTTACAAGGCGCGTTTTGAGCAACGCAACGGACCCCTCCATTACCGTAACGGTTGCCTCAGTACAAGCACTTACAGTTCTCCATGTAGTATTTGTTCAGCCCATATTTAGCGAAGCACCGTGACGGGTGTATTGACAAGTCAATTTCATTGTGTTGCAGATTCCCCCGCAAAGAGCAGATGTTGACGGTATGTGCTCTGAAAGCAGAGGTTGTCAATGTCAAACTAAAAACGAATAGAGGGTGTACTAGACTAAAACTGTAGACTAAGGTTTACACTTCAGTGTAAGAATTCGTTTCTTGGCACTGAGGGGAAGGAGCTTCAACATTTGCTGTTTGTGCTTCTCCTTGTCCGCCGAATCACGAATCGCCATTGTCAAGTTACGAAGGGATGGAAAAGTTGTCCCTACAAGCATGTGATCTAGTTCAGGCCAGGTTGCCACACTTTCGTTGCGAGCTAAGTCCCAGGCCTCCACGTAAATAGTTATTTTTTCAATGCTTGAGGGGAGTTGTGCAATTATGTTCGGAACCCAATTCGATGTAGCATGGTAAAAATTCAGCACAATACTCCTGAGTTGTCTCAACATGATGAGATATTGCGGGCCCAGAAGTTGAGCTGCGAGGTAATATTAGTTGGTGTATCCTGGCTGCAAAACACATCCGCCTACTGGTATCATCCTCATGCAAGATCAAGATAAACAGCTCGGTAAGAGATGTCCTGAAACAGTGGATAAAGTCTCTGAATTCCCCTGAATGTGTGGTTGCCAGAGTGTGTGGAGACAATGATTTGATAACCCCGGAATGGGCCTCAGTGAACCACTTGAGGACGTTTAACGGGAGGAGTCCTGACTCCCGAAAGAACAGTTTTGTGATGCTTGCTGGGGGCGGGGGTAATACCTCATTCGTGGAGAGTAAAGGCGCCAAACCGTCGGCCTCCCAATGTCCATGTATGTCCCCAACTTCGAGAGTCGTGAGGTTTGCGAAATTGGATATGAAACTTGTGATGGCCAACATGGACGCACCGGGGCGCTGGATGCCCAATTTCTGAATGCGCCCTTTCATGGCTGGGGGCATAGCCCGTATAACAGTGTCGAAATCCAATGAATCGAACGATTCAAGATCCAACGACGTGAGTGCAGTGAATTTGGGCATGTGGAGGAAAAAATTGAAGTCGTCCAGCCAGTTGGGCACTCTCTGCATCCCTACATCCTCTGTTTCGTTGCCGATGTCCATCACTTGCACGTACGGAAAGATAGTACAGTGCGGATTGTTGGGAAACGGTAACGGTTTGACACCCCGAAGTGAGATTCTGGCAAATAGAATCTCCCGAGTGATGTGCATCCAGCTCTTGGATACAAGGGAGAAAGTCTTCAGTGCTTTCTTGTCGTCTCGAGCTGAACCGACAATCAAGAAGAATATCTCGAGAGGCAATCGTGGCCCCTTCAGCTGGAGAGATACCGGCGTCAAGTGGAAGTCTGGGTAGACAAACGGTTCCTGCTCACTCGATGTATTTCTTGCCATAACTCCGAGTTCTCCTGCTCAAGTACCGCAATCTTTCTCTCTTGCACTCCCATCCGCCCTTCCAACTTGACGACTAGGGCATGTAAATCGCCAAGCACCAATGCATTCCCAGCCAGTTGTCTGGTGCCGCCTTTTGGGGCTGGTTAACGATCTCATCTGCAGGTTGGAACGGGATCCGCGTACCTTCGGGAGCTCGCCTAGATGGGGTGCTTCGAGAGAACATTGTGAGACTGGTTTCTGGTCGAGACGTAGATCGGAATCAGCGACTGCTTAATAGTTTCGCAACTAACAAAAATGCACAAATGACACTGATGGGTGGGTGTGATCATGATCACTCGGATCAACGCGCTGTAGCGAACTTCAACAAGTTGAATCTTCGATACGACGTGAACACTAGAAGGCTCTCGTTCTCTTCCGCCCTCAGGGTAACACCTGCGAAAGATAGAGGCTCGAGCCCAATGGCATGTACATATACAGACGGGTGAGTTCAAGTTTCAGCAGGATCGGAAGGAGACCCAGCGACACCACCCGGGGTGGCGGGAAGTACGGCGTCCGCTGTCTCCAGCCGTCACGGGCTGCGGTCCACCGAGGCACTGTCATGGCCTAGCAACGTCTCAGTCTCCGAACCAAAACCAAATACTGTTCGGTCGAAAATTGAAATGCAGTTTCATCCCCAAGTACTACGTATCCCGTCTCATTTTTAAAACTTGAAGTGTTCTTTGTCCCACTGCTCGCTTCGTAACATTAGAAAGCAGCAGAAACTTACCAATTCCAACAAGATGATTTACATCTTGGGCTAACGCTTTCAACATCCGACTACTTAGACACCACTGCCGCTTTCACACCCAGCTTGTTCGTACCCAGTCGATTACATTCCGCTCTTGTACTCGGATCCCAAGATTTTTTCACGCCTTTTTCAACCAAGCCGTGACGCTTGGGTTGAACTGATTTCACAGAAATCGGTCAATATCCCGCCCACTGGTCATATCGGACGGACTATATTATCGCTTGTGGAGAGCCCGAAGGGATTCCAAAATACCCGAGCCAGTGCGCGCGCTGGTATGGCCCTTCAATCTATCCGAGATGCGGAGCTCACCGTCGGGCTCTTCGGCTGAAAACGGTCATTCCCCATGCACGTCTGTGGTTCATCATTGACGCCGTCTACAGACGTCGCCAAACCACCGTTCTACCATGCCCTTTCAAGTAAGCAGCAGTCTTGGATTCTTGGTAATTATAGGTAGCCGGTCGGGAGCCCGAACTTACTTAGTTTCAAAGCCATTGTCGATACGCAGGCCCTTGGGTGTAATATGGGCAGGTGGTTTCCTCGCCAGAGAAGCTTCAAAAAATATATGTGACCTGGTTAGTACCGTCCAGTTGGGAACTTTGATCACTGCATCCAATCTCATTGCCACGGACGACCTCAGGTATCGAATCGTTGCAATGAATATTATCATGCTCTTGTGCAACACAGTGTTTTGACTGAATGCAGATATTCATCCCGGTGAACTTGAGAGGTGTTTTCTCCTCAACGGAGGCTCGCATCCAAGTTTCCTCCGGCCGATACACTATCAATATGTATACTTTATTTTTAAGATGTCGGTCTTTCGCAGAACCAAATTGTGCCGCTAAGTGTCATTTTTTTTTCTCGGAAACTCGGACTGAATTCCCATGCTAGTCGCCGATTTCAATTTTTGTGGCTGTCGGAATTTCATCTTAGGCGTTTGGTTCGTCCCCGAGTGGCGTTCGGCGACCTTTTGGAATGACGAGGACCCGAAATGCTGTATATATCACAGGGGGTTAAGATTTTGCTGCTCAGTTGCAGCGAACGGCGTTTAAGACGTAAGTAAGAACGATACTATCTCCGATTTCCCTATTGGGGACTAATGTCTTACATAATCATCTTCCACATCTTTTCCAGCTTGCAAGTCAACCGTCAAACAGCTTTTTTAGCCCGCTGGTTTTATCTGCGAGTCCGCCTTGTACGGCGAGCCACGGACATCTCTGTACACTCTACCGCTGCGGCTCCCGACTGCGAACCTTCTGATGACTCGAATTACACCTGATTCCGCGGACAACCTCATTGCGCTACAAAGGCCGGTCCTCGT